CCCAAAAAGAATAAAAAAAAAAAAGAAAATATAGAATATTTCAGCAAAAAGGTTAAGAATATTAAAGTGATAATAAAAAATATATGTATGTAAATACTAATATTTGGAGATAAGAAAATTAAGTGAAATAATTGCTTATGGATCATTAATTGAATTAGTAAACTGATCAAACCACTAGTTTCCATTTTAAATCTAAAAAGTTTCTACACATTAATTTCCCTTGATATCTTAAACATTGATTATAAAATTAAATTTAGTGGTTCACTTACATTAACATAATTTCCTAATTGAAACCATAGTTTCAGGAAACTCAGGAAACTCAAGAGAATTTATAAGCAAAAAGCTATTCAAAAGCTGCCTTCTCTCCTGGATGAAAAAACGCAGAAGCACAAGCTCATCTACTTGCCAAAGGCAGCCTGTAAGTGTGGCAGAGAATCTATAACCAAAATTTACTGAGCTTATGACAAACTATGCAATTTGAAGCACTTACCTTTCTTAAAAACTTTATTTTATTTTTTTAATTTATTTTTTGTGTGTGTGAGGAAGATCAGCCCTGAGCTAACATCTGTGCTAATCCTCCTCTTTTTGCTGAGGAAGACTGCTCTGAGCTAACATCTATTGTCAATCCTCCTCCTTTTTTTGCCCAAAGCCCCAGTAGATAGTTGTATGTCATAGCTGCACATCCTTCTAGTTGCTTATGTGGGACGCCACCTCAGCATGGCCAGAGAAGCGGTGCGTCGGTACGCGCCTGGGATCCAAACCCAGGCCGCCAGTAGTGGAGTGCGCGCACTTAACCACTAAGCCACGGGGCCAGCCCCCTCTTAAAAATGTTAGTATTTAGAAAAATTAAGATTAATTTTGCACATGATTAACCAAAGAGACTCTGAGCCCAAAGCATGCCAGGTTATAAAGAATTCCTCAAGGATTGGCAACAGATATTAGATCAGGGCTAATCTTCCTCACCAAAAAAAAAAAAAAGAAAAAGAAAAAGAAAAAGAATTCCTCATATGAGCTGCTGAACCTTTGCTCAATTTCAATAGCTTAAAATTCTTATTTGTTCTGGGACATTTTTGAGAGCTTAAGGTTTAATAAAAATTGTCTTGAAAATTACATAGATGAGAATGACACCAATTTGACTAAAAAGGAGTGTTTGCAATTTTGTGGTGTAATTCACAACCATCCACACACAGGTTTTCAACGTTACCTTTATTCAAGGTGCTGCCATTCATCTTCCCATTGCTTTGGTCTGTGTCACCATCTTGCTCATCTAATTGCTCAAGAGCTAGTTGGCGCCAACTGCGCAAGGAGGATTTTCCTACCCAAAATCCATCATTGCTGAGGAACAGAGAGAATGTGAAATCACGCAAGTGACGTTTCCTAACGTCCTCCTCCCTTCCCCCCTTGCAAAGGCCACGACTAAAATGAATTATAAACATTCGAAGTCTGCTGGTGTACGCACAATTTTTTTAACCCACTTCCTCACTGTGGCCATTTTTACTCCTCACTATTGAAGTGCAAGTACCGAATATTTATTTCCAACCTAAATCTTACTCTGCTTCTCCTGACCCTCATTTACATTCATGCCAATCACACCAATCAGCTGGCCAATTTCTTTCACTCGATCCCTATTTCAACTACATACAGCTGTGCCTTTCAGCGCACATTTGGGCACTCACATATATACGTCCACGTCTATACACAAATGCACACTTAGGGGACTCAATAGCCTTTTTTTAATCTTCGAGAAATATACAACTGAAATTAAACCCAGACATAATAAATGCCATCTGATTCTATTGGTCCCCGAGTCCAGAGATACTCTGTGGAGTGGGGCTTGACATACTCCAAGTACCCTGGATGCTTCTGACAAGGACACCCCACTGGGTACCATCTGTTAACACACTTACTTCAGCCTCTCTAAGGAGGACACCCCCGCCCTGCCAGGATGACTTCCCAACATAAGCTTTCTACAAACCCACGCCAGGAGACAGGCTAACACTCTGCCTTGGTTTGGTCAGGCCTCAGACCCACATCTCTGCTTCCACCTTCCTAATGGATGGAGTACAGTCACAAAGGCTGTGTGACTCAGCTTTCTTTATCTTTGCCCAGACACAATCACTGCAAAATGTAATCTGGCTCTGCCATCTACTTCATTACCCTTCTTTCTTCTAAAAGTCCCAACTCCCTATTATCTATAAATAATAATAAGCTACTCGGTTACTGCCCCTTGAAATTTCTTTAGTTTATCAGAAACAATATACACTGTGTAACATACCCCTTTACCGTTGCTTTTAGCAGATTATTAACAGTTTTATAATCTTCATTTAGTTGGTTCTTCAGACGTAACACACGACAACGTTCTACCACACATTCCTTACACAGGGCTTTCACTAGAGGCAAGAAAGAATGAAAGGAAATATAGTTGATTCATATACAAGTTTCCTGTTAGGAAAATGTTTTCAGCACTTCACAAAACAGAGAAGAATTCTAAACCAAAGTCACAAATTTTGACAATATAGCAAATTGGAATATATCCTACATTATTTTGGTAAAAGAAATATCAAGACAGCAACATTATTATCCGCATAAAGAATAAGAGACAAAATGTTATAATATGCTAAAATTTATCTATACCACGAAGTACAGTATTTTACAAGGTTTAGATGCAAATTTTACAAGACTACAATCAAATAATTGAGGCTCTAAAGGGGGGAGAGGGTAGTCCATGTATCTGACAACTATAAATGTAACATTAATTGTTTAAGAGCTTCCTGTGGGTATTAATTATTGGAACACCTCAAAGCACAGAACACTAAAGGGAAAAGAAAACTCAAGGGCCCAATTTAAAGCACAGTTCTAGGAATCACATGAAATGTTGATTCTCTGAAAGATTTTCTCATTGCACACCTTATTGATAGTGAACCAAAAACAGAAATTTAGAAAGCAAAACTCCACATGTGTACAAGAGAAGGCCTGAATCATGTAGTTGAATGCCAGTTTTTACGTAGTAAGTTGTACATAATAGTGTTTATTTAGGGGAAAAGGAGGTGGTGATGATGGTCATGCAATTTCATTTATTAGACTCATCTATAGACTGGAGGGGGCCTGTGTTGCCAGGTGCTCTTTAAAAAGAAAAATGTTTGGAGGAGAGACAACAAGAACCAAATGGACTATGGATACTCTGGTTACATATATTCAGGGTAGAATCAAGTAGCTTCCATTCATAGTAACAATCTACAGATGTCACACTGTTAAGAAGTCACCACAGAAGGAAGGCATACGACTTGCAAAGTACTCTTCAAGTACTTTGAAGAGTATTGTATAAAGCAGCAAAATATTACCGTATGGTTTTCTCAAAAGTATCCTATTTTGTCTGCTTTAAGAGGAAAAAAAAACAACAACAAAACTCAATGAGCAGTATCATTTTCTTTTCTAACATTATAAATATCCCATGTATAATGCTGCTTAACTTTATTTAGCAAAGCCTTTTTGCAAAATGTAAGGAACATTTGTAGTGTCTAGCATAGTTTGGGTTAAATGATCATCAAGATCATAATGAGGACTTAATGCATTACTCCTTTTTTATGCAGAGAAGACACCTCCAGTTACCAGTTAGTCTTGGTCCTCCTCCATATCGACTGTAGAAAATGTCAGCTGCATACTCAGAGATTCTCTTCATAATTGATATTTTATCAGGATGAAGCTTGTCATGGGAACACAGGCAAGCGTGATTATCGATAGGCTTGGTGGGTGTCGATTCATCCAACCACTTCTGTAGCCACTCAAGAGAGACAAATTCATAGGGCTCTGAGGAAGAAAGCAAGGGAAAGGGCCTATGTATTTTTACAGATTTTTGACTAAGTGATACATTCATTTTCCACAAAAAACAATGCAAACTCTGTCCAAAGTTAGCAGAATCAGAAGAATCATTGTTCAGGGAAGATGTTTAATGCGTACCACACAAAGCTCCCTTTAACTACCCCTCTTCTGAGTTCAAGGAGCTGTGTGCGATAGGGACAAGCCTGTACAGTGCCCTACGAGATCGGCTGGTATTATTAACCACATTCTACAAAAGAGGCATCCACAGAGAGAAGTGTCTTGCTTGATCAGAGCTCTGATCAGGACACCCATGATCGCTGACTACAAGCCGTGCTCTGCACTGGCTCACGAATCACAGACCCTCATCCCCTACTATGTTTATTTCATACGTGATTTTCACAAACACTTTCATCAATATGTGTCATCCATCTGAAAATTAAAATGAGAAGCCTGACTGAGTTCTAAGTTAGAAATGAACCTCATCAGTTATAACTGCACTTCTACAAGCCCATTTCAACCACTGAACTTTTCTTCATCCAAGATATTGATGTCGATTAAAAGGTATTTGATTTCCCCACCCAAATCTATATCATGATCTATTCATTACATTATTATATATTTCAAGAAAGTAAGCTATTTTAAACAAATTCCAGGATGAAATGCACTAGAATGGAATTACATCAATTTTGAAGTTGCAAAAATTAAGATAAAACCAAACACCTCAAAAGGAGCTTTAATTTGGGAAAACAGGGTCCCAGAGTTCCCTAAAAGCCAAAATTAAAGATAAAGGGCCAGCTTTGATTACTTACAAAGATCTCCAGTGAGTCCCAGCATAAAACATAGAAGAAAACATACAGAGGTTGAATTTATATATTTGTATTAGGTACTACTTCTGATGAGATCTGAGGGATAGACAATTCAACTCAAAGCCCATTTTGACCAATTTTATACTTCCCTGATAATTACAAGTCTAGAAAACTAACTCTCATTTTAAGTTTATTATAGAACATTTCAATTTTTACAAAAACAAAATTTGGAATTATTGATCCCTTCTTTGTGCTGAAACTGTACATCATCAGCTGAGAGCCTTCTGATTGGTCAGCTCTAACACAGTTGCACAGGAAGAGCTCATGACTGCAAGCTGAGACCAAGGTCTACTCCAAGGTCTGCCACCAAGAAACTGAACTTGAGCAAGTCACTTAAACTCTCTAATGCTTCAGGTCTTTTATATGTAAAATGAAGATAATAATACCTGCCTTCTACCTACCTCACAAGGATGTTGTTGAATGTAAAAGATAAGATATGTGAAGCATTTTGAGCTTTTTGGAAGAAAAGAGATATAGAAAAGTTAATTGTACATTCACATAATATATAAAAGAGGAGACCTTAGGATTCAGTATGGGTAACACATGGCTGTGACATTTTACAATATATCATGGTATGGTTAATTAAATTCAAAATACCTCCCAATTTCATTTGCCACTTATCAAGTTTAATCTGCCAGGGAGAGAGGACACTGGGTATCTTAAGAATGCAAAGATAAATGATCCCTATCCAAGAAAGCAAAGTGAAACTCTTAGCATATCTAATCTTTTCCCAAATATAGCTTCCAAATATAAAATTTTTAGTCATCTGAAGGCTATCAAACAAGGGAAAACGGGATTGTGATACAGAGCAAAATTCAAGAATAATTTGCCAGGAGTTCTGGTTTCTCCACCCACTGGGGAGGGGCGTACAGAGGACAGTACCTGCCATTGCTAACTGAAGAATGAGGCGGGAGAACCGGGCCCCTTCCAAGGAGAGGAATCAGGAAAACTAAATGCGCACAAAGCACTCCTTGCCAAGGGGTGGGTGTCTGCTGAAAGTCAGCGCCCAGGGTGACTATACTCTGACCTACACAAGGCTGTGACTCAAAGGCAGTTAGTTCAAGACAACACTTTCCTATCCCCTAAAGTCCCACAGAAAACTTCCGAGGGAAGCTTACTGTTCTGGTTTTGAGTAGTTTAATATGAACTCAACGTAAGATATGAAGATTTAAAAAATCATGTATGATTTTACAGAAGGAATAGGAAGGAAGAAAGCAGAGACTGGGCCTATAATTCTGATGTAATACATACTTATTAACTCAGCCAGTCTTCCAGATTTGGGGTGCCAATTTTAGTGTGCTGGAGGATCCACGGAAGGAAGAGTGACTGTAGTCACAGAGGTCTTTCTTTTCATTTTCAATCTCCGTCACTATAAAGAGTTGGTTCGATCTCTGCCAGCTTCCCTGAGAATCAGGGTCTAGCACAGGTCTCAATAGTTAAGGCAGATTCTGCCTGTCGAAAGTTTTTACGCTACAGATGTTTCTGCACCCGAGAAAGACTCGTGACAGGTTCTCCAAGATGTTTTCTGTTATTTGTGATTCAGTAAACTACCTAAGCATCGCCTTCCAAAGGCATGGAAAACCAACTATTAAAGGGGAATGAGAACTCCCTCCAATTATCAAGTTGGAGATAACAGACTGCATAAAATCTCGGCATTTGACAAACTGCGAAAACAATTGTTAAAATATCGGCCAAAGGGAAATGTACATTTTGGTTCAAAGTTATTTATAATTTTTTTTTAAATGCCTGCTTTTTGAACACAAGGAATTTTCTTTTGGAAAGTTACAAAGTTTAGAAAGACTGTTGCATGAAAAATATTTGAAACACTTTATCTAGAGACAATTTAAGATTATTTAGAGATAATTTATTTACATTTAAATAAAAAGGGCCAAAGGCTTATATTTTGGGATAAGTGACTCTTCTTTAAATATGTTCACAAGCAAAGGTAAGATTTAGAAAATGCATAACAAAAGACTTCAGTGGGCAGCACAAAACCAAGGTCATGAGCTTTGGGATTTGACAACATTTTAGGACAACATGGACTTTTCTACTATGTAAGTTTACTGCAAATGGGAAAAAAATCATAAAGCTCATAATTGGTATAATTCTTTTACCAAGAACATAAGCACAGGTTCTTATAGACTGAATGAAAACAGCCAAGAGAAGCATAAGTATGTGTTAACTCAGCATCTCTGGAACAGAGTTTTAAAGAATGGTTTTAAAGTTTTCAAGAGTGGTTCAAAAGAGCATTTTACTTTAGACCCAGTAAGTCCCCTTCTCTTGTCCAGTGAACACAGGAAACTGAGTATCAAAGTTCAAAAAATCGATTTCTAGGTCCCAACTCCTTTGAACAAATTTAGAGATTTGAATCGTATGTTCATTTCCAGTAAAATTAAGGTCAGTCTAATTCTTTAGGTCAATCCTGACCCTTGGGACAGAGTGAGAGTAACAGGCTACAAAGAAAGGTCAGAACAAATTAAGATGTAGTTTAGAAAGAACTTCTAAGAGCTATTCTTAGCAATTTATATTCATCTTTTGTCTAAGCTTATACCAATGGAAAATTAAGATATCAAAAAGACAAAACCACAAGTACAATTAGGCTTGAGTATTTATTTTCTAAAATTAGGATTAAATTGCCTCCCTTCTTTAAGTAGGAATTGGGTATGGGGAATTCATGTCTATGAAATGACAAAGACAACAGATCGTTTGGGCCGGCCCCGTGGCTTGGCGGTTAAGTGCGCGCTCTCCGCTGCTGGCGGCCCGGGTTCGGATCCCGGGCGCGCACCGACGCACCGCCTCTCCGGCCATGCTGAGGCCACGTCCCCCATACAGCAACTAGAAGGATGTGCACCTATGACATACAACTATCTACTGGGGCTTTGGGGGGAAAATAAATAAATAAATAAAATCTTTAAAAAAAAAAAAAAGACAACAGATGGTTACAAATGGCACACCAGCCTTAAAAAGCTGAGGTTTCCTTTTGGAGTCACTAGGTAAACTTGAATAAACATATACAGTAAAGGGATAAGCTAGATTATGTGAGATAATTCTTAAGAAGTTAAAGGTCAGCAGAAAGCTTTCCTATTCTTAGCATAATATTTGATATTAAATTTCAAATTAGTCTAACAGTATCATAAAAAATAGTACTCATATAAAAGAATGCCTGGTAATACTGTTAGTGCACAAAGTATGCAAGGAAACAGAACAGGCAAGTTGCTTCCATAGTAACCCAATCAGATTTTTCCTTAAGAACAAGTTAATATCTCACAAAATAGAAATATCTACAAGAGTCATATATGCAGAGAGCTGACCTCAAGTTTATAACTTATTAAGAGCTTCCCAGTTTTAAAATTACATGATAACGAGAAGTATATGGACCGCTACAGATCAAGTTATTGCTGGTTTACATAGTAATTTTATAGCACGTGAGCTGGCATAAGTGGGTCATAAGCAACGGTAGGGAAAAGTCTGTTCATATACACTTGTGAACATGAAAGAAACAAGGCACTTAATGGTAACAGTGCTGTCCCAGAATATCTTACAGACCAGCTCCAGCAGGTAACCTTTGGTACAGCTCCTTAACCTCTTCGTGCTTTGCTTTTCCTTTATCCACGCTTTGCTTACGCATCTCGGCCATTTCAATACACCACTCCTCAAACTTGGAGTTATCCCGATCTACCAGCTCTTGAAGAAACGCTGTTTAAAACAGCAAGACAAAAAACAACTTTATCCTGTTTTCAAAGACAAGAACCATGCTTATCTCTAAATTATATCAAATACTGGCTAAGATTTTGGGGGCAACTTCCTACTGTGGTCTCCCTTTCTGTTAGAGACCTCCAACCTGAAGGCAGAAGTAAACCTGAAGACAGCAACTGGAATCATACCAGGTGACTCCCCCCACCTGGTTCTCCATGACATCATCAGGCAACTGGAATCATCAAATTGGCTCAGAAACAGCACTCCAAAATAGATGGTGCCAAAGAGCACAGAACACTCTTAGGTAAAATGACACCTAAAGACTGCCCTCAGTTCCTTAAAAAGTTTAAAAAAAAAAAAAAAGGGGGGGCAGGGGTGCAGCTTGGTGGTGTAGTGGTTAAGTTCGTGTGCTCCGCTTCGGTGGCCCGGGGTTCGCAGGTTCAGATCCCGGGTGCAGACCTACACACCACCACTCATCAAGCCATGCTGTGGCGGCATCCCATATACAAAACAGAGGAAGAATGGCACAGATGTTAGCTCAGGGCCAATCTTCCTCACCAAAAAAAAA